AGTCAGAGTTCTCGTGAATAGTGATGAAATCTATTTGATAAATTAGTCTTACTCATCTACTTAAAAATATTTCGAATGATAGTATATTATTAAGGGTGTGGGTCTGGGTGCGTGGGTGTGGGTGTGAATGTGGGTGTGGGTGTGGGTGTGGGTATGGGTGTGGGTGTGGGTGTGGGTATGGGTGTGGGTGCGTGGGTGTGGGTGTGGGTGTGGGTGTGACTGACGAGAAGATTGGCACCCACAGCCACAGCCACACCCACACATCCACACCCACACCCTAGCCACCCACCCACACACCCACACCCACACACCCACAGCCACACACCCACAGCCACACACCCACACACACACCCTTACGAGAGATAAACGTGCAAACAAATCACAACGTATTTAATTTGAAAATAAATCGATACGCAATAGATGGCAGTAATAAAAAAAGCGAAAAATCATATCTAAACTATCATTGGCGTCCTGGGGTCCACGTGGACCCATATCCGTATTTTTTCTCTCTTAGATCTATTCATGATTTTTTATCAGGATGTTGTACATCTACAAAAGCCTAGAGATTACAAAAAACAAATGACTCGAAACAGTAAATAGTTGTGTAGTGCGAGATGAAAACCTGTAAAGTGGGTCCAAGCGGACCCCCAACAGTAACCGAGGGTTAAAATGTCTTATTAAACCTTTGAGGACGGAATTAATTTTTAACTGGAGAATGGGTTTTTCGTCAATTTATTGTATTTGGCTCAAAATTATTACATAAAAACCTTATGACAATGCACCAAGATAAGAGAGAAAGTAATTATGGTGGCAGTGCGTGAAACAGAAAGGGAACGGAAGATCTGAGGACCATCTATATGACAGCAAGAAAGAGAGAAAAGATATGCATGTGATGGCAGCTGAAACGATCTGTTGTTGTACAGTTAATAACAGTTTAATGAGAAACAAACATTTTCCTTCCTGGAAAATAGGTGGTACAGTCCTTGTACGTACCACCGTCTCGAAAGGGTTAACTTTAGGGTATATGACAAAGCCCAGTTTCTTACGGTTTCTCATACGATGCCCAAACTCAATTATGATTGTGGAAGATGCAGAAAATATAATCTGTGATCAAAATCGAGACACATTTGTAGCCAATCAAGCTTTTGCCAATTTGTTGAACCTTGCCGGTGACCTACCCGGTGATGCTATGTATCAACAAATCATTTGTATGTTTAATTGTGAGGTCAAAAGTATGGATTCTGCTCTTCTGCGTGACGGGCGACATGTCGTTGGACATAAATTACAACATTTTTGACGAAGACTTATGCAGAGAAAAATGCAGCACTAGCAGCTTTCTCGAACGATGTCAAAAATGGACAGACATCATCAAAAAATAAACGACAATCTAAAAAACTAAGAAACAAGAATCAAATTCGTTTTTTAGTTTATGTTTAACGAAGATAAAAACAAGATATTAAATAAAAGCATGTTGATCTATTTTTTTGTTGATAATAAAATTTAGACGAAAGAAATATTTGATATGATATACGAGAATATTGGTTCTAAAGTCCTGAGCAGGTTCAAAGTTTGAAATCTGCAACCCACACGATGAAGTCAAACCCGAAAATCATAATCATTTATCTATGCTCGATTAGATGCTTTCTATAAATATGGTTACAAGTGTGGATATGGCTGTGTATGTCACGAGTCCCACACCTCTCACCCACCCCCTAAAAGGAATTAAATAAAGCAGGCATCCTCAACAATGTCTAGTATCTGTAAAAACAATTTTCAATTCTATAGGACGTATTTATTGTGGGTGAGGGTGTGGGTGTGGAAATTATTTTGATCAACATCATTCACACCCACACCCAAAAACTGCACCGTTCTTTTTCAAAGTCTATATTCCTCTTTCCTCCTTCTCTTTGCATGAGTGTTCATTAGCCAGTTTGTAATTCATTTACGTCATACCATAAATTTGTAAAAGTTCAGTCACAGTTAATTAGCACATTTTAATAAAATGAAAAAAGTTTTATTATTTTTTATATGATGTTTTTTAAATGACAAAATACCAATATTTTATATATGTAGTCCAAGATAAATTTTATTTTGTAATAGATATCAATAAATTAAAATTTAAGAAAAATCTCTTCCACCATTAACTAAAATATTCTGTCCAGTAATGTAGTCAGAATCTTTGCTTGCAAGAAATGAAACTAAGTTTGCGACGTCATCTGGATATCCTATGCGACCAAGTGGAATTGTTTTTAAAGAATCGTCCACAATATCGTTCAATGTCTTTCCTTGAAGTTTTGAAAGTTCTTCATTAGATTTGTCAGACATCGATGTCTTAATGAGTCCTAATAAAATTTCATAGGTTTAATATTCAAAAATACTCTAAAGCATACCTGGACAATAAGCATTAACTGTAATATTGTATGGAGCCCATTCTATAGCAGAAGTTTGTGTTAAACCTCGTATACCCCATTTTGTGGTGCAATAAGGACCGATCATTGCACATGCTTTATATGCAACAGAGCTACATGCACCAATAATTTTTCCTCCTCTACCTTGTTTAATCATAATTTTAGCTGCTTCTTTGTAACAAAGAAATACTCCACGCAGGTTTACTGCAAAAACTCTATCCCACTCTTCTACAGTCGTATCTAAGAGTGATTTTACCTCACCAATTCCTGCATTTGCCACTACTACCTGTAGAATTGATTGCAAAAGTAAAGATAAAACAGTCGAAAAGAGTGAAAAATACATACATCTAGGCTTCCTAAGTTTTCTGCAGCGTCTTGAATCATTTTTTCGACTGATTTACTGTCAGAAACATCAGCATTAACTGTAATATTGTATGGAGCCCATTCTATAGCAGAAGTTTGTGTTAAACCTCGTATACCCCATTTTGTGGTGCAATAAGGACCGATCATTGCACATGCTTTATATGC